CTCAATATTCCTCAAAAAATGTGTCATCTTCATTTAATAGTTGATTAAATAATCAACTCAGGCACTTTGTCACTTTGTGCACCAGAAAACAAAGACACACTTGATATTTCAGTTTCAGTGGATGTTTCGGTGGATTAACAGGAATCCTAATCTCTTTTCCATTATTTAAAACATTTTCTCCCCCCTGAACAATTAAATGTTACATCAGAGATTTTTAATGCAGGCAAGTCAAGTTGGCCCAGTTCTGCTGTGAGGTCCATCTGGATGGATTACCATCAAATTCTCATTTGCAAAAGAGCAAATCTTTCCCATAATCCTTCATTTCACTTCCCTAATAAACACACAGACATGTTACAAAGCTGCTGTTGCTTTTCACCTTAATGACATTCCCCTTGCTTTGAGAGCTGCCGACTCTGTCATCATGCTCACACACGGTGTGATACAGGTGACTGCAGCACTTGTCAGCTTCTGGCCACATTTTTCATTCTCATGTTTTATTTTATCCTCTACCCCTGTCCTGCCTTGTCCTCGTCCTTTCATCCTGCTTGTGCTATCCAGCGGTATCATATCCTCCTAGTTACAAGAAGACTCCACCTCCCGTGCCCCCGCGCACCACCACCAAGCCTCTTATCTCTGTGACAGCCCAGAGCAGTACAGAGTCCACCCAAGATGCCTACCAGGAGGGCAGGCATCCACGGGGCGGTCTGTGGACCACAGACAGCCTCGGCCGTCCCATCTACAGCTCCACGGACAGCCTGGACAGCACCAAGGCGGTCACCATGGCCATGGAGTCAGCAGCAGGCAAGAGGCACGCATCTTTGGGCAGCCACACCTCCGTCCAGACATGCGACAAAGCAGTGCTGGTGTCCAAGGCCGAGGAGTACCTCAAAACCCCACGTTCCTCTATTGGAATACAGGTATGACAAAAAAAAACAACTCACTGCTGCTCTCTATTCACTCACCACTCAGCATTCACACCAATTACACCAGTCTCCTCTGTCTCCCTCCGTTTGATTTAATATGTCGAAGAGCTGTGCAACTGTAAAAACACCTCCAGGCTCTCAGTCATTCATTTTAATAAACCAAATACGTTTCTTTCCCCAAAGAAGAAAATTACAATGGATTTTTTGTAGATGTCACAATAAATCACCCTGGATGAATAGAAAAACAGAGATGACAGAAGAGGACGATGTTTCGTGGGTAACTTACAGTATGTCTCCATCTGCAAGTGTGCAAATGAGCTAATCTTCGTTATTTTTGAGATAATTGTACCAGTCAGTGTGAACTTCTGGTTTACCTTTACACATGTATTACCTGGAGACGCAAACTCAGGTTACTGCTGCCTATTCTGAAGGCAAGTGTCCTCAAGATCAAACTTCCCCAAAGAAATCCTACCAACCAAGAACAATGAAGCTGCTCATGTGACTCTCTAGAGATGATGATCTGAAACCTTGGAAAGCACCAAACTTTACCCCAGGGACCAGGCATCGTGATGGGTTGCTGCTGCAGCCGGCTCTCGCCTCTGATTCTTACGTAAAAGTGCTGGTTTTCTTACAGTGGCACTGACTGTTGGTTTAGCACCTACGTTCTGCAGAGCAGGAAGCATGAGTGGGGAGTGTCACTTCACTCCTGACTGCCAGTTGCTCTTGTGGTCCTTGTTTAGCACTTACAGGTTTGAGAAGGATTATGACAGGCCGAGATGTATCAAGTACGGTTTTTTATAACTTTGAAAGCCATTGCAGTTGTTTTTTTTTGTGTGTGTGTTGATTGTTGGAGATGATAAGAGCCCTTCTCCAAACCAGCACACCGGCCTCAGTTGTTGTTCACTGAAACAATGGAAACTTGACTTCTGTGACGAGTAAAATAAATAATCTCACTAAGCAACATGTTTGTTCTGTTCTTGTTCTGTTGGTTGCAATGTGTTCTGCTGTGTGTGTTATCCAGGTGGAAACTGTGACAGACTCTGAGACAGAAAGTAAAGGCCTTCCTCAGTTCCATTCAATAGGGATCCAGGTGGAAGATCACAAACGGTGAGAAGCACGGACAAAACACATTCTTCTTTGTCAAGTAGGCGTATTAACATTTAATCTCTGTCCTTGATAGGCATGGGCGGTTCAAGCGCTCTAACAGCGTGACCACTGCAGTGCAAGCAGACATGGAGCTGGAGGGCTTTCCCTCCATGGAGGACAAGGGCCTGCAGTTTGGCGGTGCCTTCGGTCGCCACTCTGAGCCAAGCACGCCAACGCAGTATGGGGCCATCCGTACGGTGCGCACGCAGGGCCTGTTCAGTTACAGGGAGGACTACCGGCCTTCCAGTGGGCCTTCCAGCCCGCAGCCTGAACCCTGGCTGGTTGGGCCGAGCCTGGAGGGCACTGAAACAGGCCGCGTGTCCCCCCTCCGAAGGGACGGCAGCTGGTTTATGCAGCTCCTCCACAATGAAACCAAGCGGTTGGAGGGATGGTGCAAAGAGATGGAGAGAGAAGCAGAGGAACATGACATGTCGGAGGAGAGTGAGTGTCCCAAGGAAAACACAGAATCTTGTTGGGATTCTTGTGAATGAAAAATGTTTCTCAACGTGTTGGATCAGTTGTCTAACCAAACGATGTCCCTTTCTCTCTCTCTCTCTCTCCATGTGTGTGTTTGCGTCCACCAGTCCTTGGAAAAATCCGGAGCGCAGTGGGAAGTGCTCAGCTACTAATGTCTCAAAAGTTTCAGCAGTTTTACTGGTTATGTCAGCAGAATCTGGTGAGTATTCCGTGTGTGTGTGTGTGTAAACAAGAACACTACGTGGTGTTAATATGTTACACGGGGCAAACACAACAGATCAGGGATAGACTCGCTCTCATCCCCG